CCCTAAACCCTAAACCCTAAACCCTAGGAGGGGGGGGAGGGTGAAGAATGGGGTGGAGGGTTTAGGGTTTAGGGTTTGATTGCGCCTGTGCACTTTAAAGGACTCTTTTTTCTCCAGATTAATTGAATTTAATTCATTTATTCTTTTTGAATTTGTTTTTTTCTTCCTTTGTGCAGATCTTTGAGGAGATCTAGCCAAAGAGGAGCAGCGGAAGAGCACGAGCTGGCGAGCCTCCGCGAAACTCCGAAGAAAAGAACAAACAATCGAATAAATAAGTAAATAAACAATCAAAAAAACAGAAATTCAAAATATTACAAGATCAAAAACTCTTTTTCAAAACAAATGACTCTTTCAATTCCAGATTTGCCTCACCACTTTCCCCGGGACCGCCGCAGCTAGCCGCGCGGCAAGGCGCGGGGGCCAGCTAGGCCGAAACCGCGGCGATCGGAGTTTGAAATCTCTTTAAAACAATTAAAATACAGCTTAAAAAGCTTTCAAATATTTTATTTCATTTTATTTCACAAAAACTCCAACAAAATGTTTTCTATTTCAGCCTTCTTTCCCCCGCCGCCGACGCCGCCGGGCGACGCAGCTGTCTAGACACGTGAAACGCCATTCGCTCAATTTCGGGTTCCGCATTTCATCCATTTATTTATTTAAATCATTTTATACAATTTAAATGACATAATATAAGTATTTAAGAGTGAAATTCCCTTTTTTCTCCGCGATTTCAGAGCTCCAATCAGTTATTTCCTCAGATCTTCCACTCTCCACGCCTTCACCACTTCCTCTGCAAATCTCCCCAATTTTCGCTTATTTCTTTTCAATTCTCTTTCTTTGAGCAGCTTGTTCTTTCAGTTTTCAGTTATTACGTTTAATTTCGTCCATTTAATTCGTTTTCCGCTTTATTTCGACTCGAATCCCAAAAATGAGTTTCTTGAATTTCCAGTTCTTCCGCTGCCCCCTCCCGGCGAAGGCGAGCTGTACGTACACCCCAGCACTTCCGCGGATTTTCTTTTTCGGTTTTCTGCAGTTCTTTTCTCGGGTGTACGTACACCGCAAATCGAGTTTTTTTGTTTCCTGCTGCTAGCTCTCAAAAACAAACCAAACTCAAATAAGCTGCTGGTGCTGCTGCTGCTGCTGTTGCTGCTGCTGCTGTTGCTGCTGCTGTTGCTGCTG